TCACAGTCAGTGTCTGCTCTCAGCCGCTCTGCTGGCCCATGGGTGCTCCTCGTGGACTTGGCGAGCTGGTTAAAGCACATGGAAGGGCTCCCTGTGTTCACGTCAGGCTCATCTGAAGCCCAGGGAAGCTCTCCCTCCTGAGGGGTGGCAAGCAATGCCCAGAGAACGTGAGTCTGTGAACGCCAGCCAGCCTCAGAGCTCAGGGGTGTGAGGGAGTGAGTAGTGGCCGGTGGTTCCCTCTGCAGCAGGTCTGCTTCCGAGGGAGCTACGCGTGGATCGGATCCAGTACAGGTTGACCGAGGCAGGATTCAGCTCTGCAGTTGCAGGTCTGCAGGCCTTCTGTGGAGTCCCCGCACCGCCCCAGCTGTGGAACCTGTGTTTCATGCTATGGTGCCCATGTCCTCATGCTGCGCCTCTCCTGGACAGCCGGCTTCCCAGAACCCCAGCGAGACCCAGAGGGACAACTTGTCCAAGCAGAGCATTGCTCAGGCCGTCACTGCAGAGCCCACGGCCCTCCCGCATCCCTGGGCCCCCTCACCTGCACGTCTCCCATGACGTCCTCCATGAGCACGTCATACTGCACCACGAAGTCGGCCATGACGCCTGAGCCCGAGAAGGCAGCCTGGTCTCGCAAAGTCGGGCAGAAGGTGACTCGTGCGCAGGTCTCTCCCCTCTCGATCCTCGTCGATGGCGGCGAGTCAGCCTGTCCTATGTGGGGTTGTGGCGGGGAGGGCTCAGCAGACAGAGAAGTGCGGGAAGGCACAGCAAAGGGGCAGCATCAGGCAGGCTGACAGGCCGAACCCCTGCCCACCCGCCTGCCCCAGTGCCTTGCTGCTCTCCACGTCCTGCAGCCAGCTCCTGCTCTGCCTCCTGCCTCAAGCCCAGCCTGGCAGACCCGCCTCACGCTCAGCTCCCAGCCCCGGGCAGCCTGACCCCACTGCCTCCTCTCCCGGTCATCTCCCTTCCCTGCAACCCCGCACCAGGACCCGCTGCGTGGCCCTGGGCTCTCCCACACAGGCAGCGTGCTCTGTGCTGTGTGCTGGGGACAGGGACAGACAGGCAGACAGGACCCGGGTCTCCTCCCACCCCACAGCTGTGGGAAACAGCAGCCCGGCCAGGTTCTCCTCTGCATAGAATTTCACGCCTTGTCTTCCCTGCCGCCTGGCTCTCAGGATCACGTGTGTGAATAGGCCTTTTCGCGTCTCGTCTCGTGAAATCACTGCTGAATTCCTGGTCCCGGATGTTTGCTGAGCCGGCCACAAGATCAACTGCTCTGGAATTTGAGTCCAAGACAAATGTCCATTTACAAATGTCTCTGCGCCTCCTTTTTTCCAGAAAGGGGAAACTTGGGAATTCTGCTCCCCCCTTCCTGCTCCAGCTGTCAGGAAGCTGGGGGGCAACCCGAGCCCCCATACTCTCGGAGGCGCCTGCTCACATACGTTCCCTGGGCTTCCTTCCTCTCCCAGCTCTTTGTTCTGCCTTATCCCCACAGGATTGGTCCTACCCTCTGCTGTAACCTTTAAGGAGAAGGGGGAGGGCACTGCCGTTTATAGCTTAGGGCTCCAGAGTGCAGGCTGCGAGGCCTGCGATGGCCCCGGCCCGTGGGCCCAGGTCCCCACGGCCGCTGAGGGGCCGTGCCCCAGTCACTGCCTCCCTCTCAGCCCCGTCTCTCCATCCCTAGCCCGGATGCCCGTGGCTCCTGGTGACACCCAGTGCGTGTGGGGGTGACAGGAGGACGTTTAGGTCTAGCACGGGGGACCCCACCCGGGGCGCCGTGAGTGCTCCCCGATGCCGGCCAGCACACTTTCTTCCAGTCTCCCTGACAGGACACCCAGGCGTCTGTGGGGTGGGTTTTCTCAAATGCCCTCATGGTCCCCAGTGATGGGTGCCCCCTCCCTACCCCACTTAGATGGGGACAGTGATGCAGAGCTATGGAGTCTCGCTCATCAGCGGGAGTTACAGCTGGGAAAGGGAAGGCAGTCCGTGTGTGTCTGTCTGCAGTATGTCCGCCCCGCTGCCCTCTGCATCTGCCAGACAGGCCTCCATTGCTATAGGCTTTGCAAGGGCCTCGGGACCTGGAGATTTCTCGGTGCCTGTCCATCACTGCTCTGAGGGAGTGCAGGGCCCAGTTCCCTGATTCCACACCCTGGCTGCAGGTACAGTTCCCCCAGCTGGTCACAGATGCTGATTCCTGGGCCCTCTGCAAGCTGAGCAACCGGGCTCCCCAAGGTGGGCTCAGCCATCTGCATCGCTCCCAGCTCAGGGAGTGATGCCGGTGTCGCCAGCCCAGCCTTCGCAAGTGCCAGATGTGATGGCATTGGCCGTCTCTGTGCCCCGCACCCCCAAGCAGGGGCCCCGGGCTGCCCGAACTTCCTTGGTGTCTGTGGGCTCAGCAGAGGCGAGTCCAGCATCAGGCTCCATGTGCCGATGTGGCTTCCTCAGTCCCGGGGGGCCGGGGGAGGGGGACGTTTCCCACACCAGCTGGCTGTGTCCTCTGCTCGGTCACTCTCCTCCCCCCAACCACTCAGGACACCCCACCAGGCCCTCCTGTCAGTCACACGTCCACGCGCTCTGTGTCGCGCTCACGTTGCCTCTCTCTGGCAGTCAGCGTGTTGTTGAGAGGCAGACATCCCCTCCAAGGGGCAACCGAAGATAACTTCTGAGGACGTAAGGAACAGAGCTGGGAGGCATGGAGGGTCCCACGGGGCGTGGTCAGACTGCGTGGCACCGTCAGGAAAAGCCCTGGGTGGCCCAGAACTGCAGGGTGAAGGAGAAGTGGAGCTATGGCCCCGCAGTGAGAGCCGCATCCCAGAATTGGAGCAGCCCCCAGGAGCACATGGCTGCAGTTGGGGACTTCACCAGGCCGAGGCAGAGCCCAGCGGACAGAGCGCGGGATTAAATGCCCCAGACTCTCGCTCCCACCACCGTTGGCCTCGGGCCACTGAGTCTTATTGGCCAACAAGGAGCCCAGGTGGAGCAATCAGCAGGGGTGGGTAGTGGGGTCAGGGTGGGGCAGAGAAGGACCGGCAGGGGTGGAGCATGGATGGGGGGGAGAAGCTGGGTGGGGGAGTAGCCTGGAGCCCCCAGCATCAGCCCTGAGCTGCCCTTGCTGCTGCTTGGGTCTGGCCCAGCCACCTGTCCTACATCAAGACCTTCGACGTGGGCACACGCTACATGGTGAACCGAGTGCAGGACCACGTCCAGAGCCGCACAGTCTACTACCTCATGAACATCCACGTCACACCCCGCTCCATCTACTTGTGCCGGCATGGAGAGAGCGAGCTCAACCTCAGGGGCCGCATCGGAGGAGACTCTGGCCTCTCAGCTCGGGGCAAGCAGGTAGGGAGAGCCCCGTGCACCCCCACGCGTGGCTGAGCTGGCCCAGGTGTGGTTGGGGCGGAGCTGGACAGGCAGGGTGGTGCTGCCTGGGTCCTGAGGAGGGGCCCACACTAGAGCTGGGCCAGGAGCAGGTTCTGCCCACGCCTGCCTTCCTCCCCATCAGCCACTCAGTGTGGACACATCCTTGGTGGCTCCCAGGTGCCAGCGGCTTCTGCGGGTCTCCTAGCTGGAGCCCGGCCCTCCAGGCCCGCCCCAGTCTGGCTGCTCCATCACACGACCTCCCTTCACCCCTGCCTGGCAGGTCCCCTCATCCCTCTCACCACACTGTGCCTTCGCTTGCTGCCTGCGGTCCCCTCTGGTCGCTGGTCACCACTCTGGCAGACAGCTGCCTGGAGGGCCCCACGCTGAATCCCTTCTCTGCGACTTGGGGCTGCTGCCACCCTCCCCACCGCAGGGGTCACGCGGTCAGCAGCTGACCCACTTCTGGCTGCGTCTCGCCTGCCCTCCCAGCTCCATGCCAGGCCCAGCTCCTGCTCCGTGGTTGGTTCAGGAAGCCCTCACGGTCAGGTGGCCGAGCCCGGTCTCCATCTCTCCTGGGCTAGGCCATGTGCCCTGCACATTCTGGGAGGGGCTCATACAGGGCTCTGTCCCCTCCCCCCCCCATCTGGCCCTGGCCTTGTGGGCACAGGTGCTGTTCTTGCTGGAAGGATCATGTGGGAGTGGGACTAGGGGGAGAGAAGGTGTGGGGGCAGCTATGTTGTCATGTATGGGACCCCTCCTCACAGCCACGGTGCCTTCTGCTCCCGACGTGTGGCCTCATTTGATATCCACAACAGCTTTGTGGGGTGGGCAATACCCACACCCAGATATGGAGGACAGAGCTGAGGTCCAGAGAGGGGCAGAGAGTGACCACAGGTCACACAGCCTGGGCCAGACAGAGCCAGGACTGAAAGCCAGGCTTTCCTGCCTTGCACCTCAGTACCTCTGCTGGAGAGGCAGGAGGGGTCCCAGACAAGGCGCTGTCACTTACAGCCCAGTCCTCATGGCTCCCTCCCTGTCACTCCCCGGCTGGCAGTCTGTGTACGCTGGCCTGTGGCTCATCTGTGGCTCCTCAGGGCAGAGTGAGAGGCCATGCAGGTGTGACCCTGCCCCATGGCACCACCTGCAGCTTGGGCGCTCTTGCTGACGGGTGGCCATGGCCCTCTCATGCTGCTTAGAGCCCAGGTGGACAGTGGCCAGCTCCACATGTGCTTCCTGCTCACTAACGTGTGCGTGCACCTGCACACACCTGGCCCAGCCTTCCGTGTGCTGGGCACAGTGCTCCATGCGCAGCTGGCAGTGCCCTCAGTGGTCACCCCCATCACCATAGCCCTCACTGTGCAGCACCCACTGTGCACCTGGGAGCAGTCTGGGTGCTGCTGACTCCCCAGGTGAAGTGACAAACACAGAGACCACAGGTGAGCGTGAGCTGCTCGCATCTCTCAGGCAAGCTGTGAGGCCTGGGAGGGCAGGGACTCGGCCCTCAGCTCACAGGGACCGTGTGAGGGAGTGGGGGCCTCACCCACGTCTCCTACCTCCCAGTCAAGCGCCCCTTCTGTCGGAGCACACGGACGCTGACTCAGGTCCATGATGAGATGCGTGCAGGAGAGACGTGTGGCTGTGGCTCTCAATGAGCGCCTGGTGCGTGCGTCTGTGCCGGTGTTCCCAGCGCACTCCGTCTGGGATGGCTGTCACACCTGTGCACAGCACGGCAGGTCGCCTGCTCCCTTGGGCTGCCACAGCCCTTGGGGGCCTCTCTCCATGCTGCCTTTGTTTCCTGCACGGGACTGGCCGTGTCTTGAGAACTGGGACCCCCAGCTCCCAGCACTGGGCCATGGGCACCCGAGTCAGTAACCCGTGTTGGCTTAGTGAACAGCTCAGTGTCTGAGTGAGGGGGTGCCTGAAGGGCTCGATGCTGCAGAGCCCCAGCCAAGCCCCAGCTGGAGAACCCAGTCCCCAGCTTCTGCTGCCTTGGGGAAAAGGCCGGGCTCTCCTCAAGTCATTCTTCCCCTCCTGAGAAACTGCCCCTGGCGTGTGACGACTAACTCAAGGAAGTTCGATGGCTGCGTCCTGGTCGAGCCTGAACGTCTAGACACGGGACCCCAAGTGAGCACGCTTGTGAGCTCACCCTGAGGTTGGGTGAGCAACGGCAACAGCCCATCTCCAAAGGCAGTGGTCGGTGCCAGATCAGGCGGGCACAGGGCTGAAGGCCCAGATGGGTTAGCAGAGGCCGCCCCTCTGCACAACATCTCTCGCTGTGCCTCAGCTCCTGCCGTGAGCCTTGCAGGTGGCTCCCGAAGAAGAAAAAGTCCTGGGAGCACAGTGTGCAGGTGGTAACAGGAAGTAGTCGGAAGTCTAGGTGTGGTGCAGCTGCATGCTGGGGTGACCCTGATGGGAACTGAGCAGGGGAAATTCTCCTACTGGGGCCATGCATCTGGGTGATCTCTATCTAGAAAGCAATGTGCCTGCGGCACTGATTAAATCTGGCCAGACGGTTTTAGACTAGAAAGGAACAAGATTGGAGAACAGATAGCAACAACAATGCAATGAAATACTTAGCACAGTTCTAATTGCTTTGCCTGCATGTAAGTGAGGAGTAGGTGAACAGCTCTATTTGTGTCAGGAATGCTCACCTGTAGGAACATGGTGACCCAGCCTTTGGAGTTTTATCTAGACACTCCACTGCTTGTTCAATGAGCCAATGAAAAAAAAAAATGGCCCCAGTAGAAGGGATGGGTGTTTTGTGTGGGTTCTTTATGGATTCACCTTCATTTAGCTTGACTCGGTGCCAAGTTAGCGCTCAATCTCTGAATAGGAAAACTCCCAATACATCACCGTTCCCTGAGGGAACCCACAAATCCCTGGGGGATAGAGATATTACATTGGACCCCTTCCACCATGGAGTTGTCACCCATTGATCGTCACTGAAGCAATCACCTGTTCAGGAACGGATTTGCCTTCCATGCCTGCAGTGCTTCTACCAGCACCATCATCCTTGATTTTCCCAACTATTTATAAACATTATGTAGCATGGCAATATACTGTATGATATACTGTTCTGATCAAGAAACTCATT